GTACACAAGAACTATATAATTAGAATTTGTATTGAATATTTTCGTTGTTCATGCGACATACGTCAATTTATCTTGGCGATTAGCGCTTAAGAACGTAGCTCGGTACTGAGTGTAGTATATTATGAATTGTGTTGGCCACTTAATTCAAACTAGCGAGCACTTTGTAAACGTCGCCTTATATTTTAATACGTATCCAACGGTCTCTTCAATTCGGTTTTCGTAAAGTGTGTAAATACACGTTTTTTAGGTAACAGAATACTATCTATACTAGGACATGTTAAGATCTCATTGTTGTCTGTAATTTAATTTCTATTTTTCTATTCGATTCAAAAAAATAATATACCCAGCATTATTGAACAAAATCATGTTAATGAATGGAAAGGTTTATTTGTGAGTGCTATTGTTTCGTTATATCATGATATATAACATTTATATCATTTTACGGTGGTAGGACCACAATGGGCAGGCTCGTCCGGGTAAGTACCACGACCTCACAGAAGACCGGCGTAAAGTAGAAGTATAATACTTTCGCGTTTCGTCTGTTGAGTGAGGTGGCCGGAGCCCAATTTTCAAAAGGTTGTCAACGCATCTGGAACCCTCGGGTGTAGCAGATATCGATGGGCGGCGGTATTCACTTAACATCAGGAGAACCGTCTCTTCGCTTGGCAATTTTTCACATAAAAAAAACAATAATCGTTCTTGGTCCCTTCCTCTTCACAACCACAGAACCATCTTGATCATCTGATTATTATTTCTTTTCTTTTTTTTTTTATAACATTGCCCTTACTGTCGGATGAAATTCTCCTGTGTTGTACGGACGTTTTACATAAATAAATTTCACGTGGACAAACACCCAGATCCGAGATAATTATCTGAAAGTCACACAAATAGCTGTCCACGCTTGCAACTTGCACCACGCAGTTGTCAAAGAACGTAGTAAAATTCAAAAAAAAAAAAAGAACAGAAAGAACGATATCCAGATTTTAAATCTCACGCTACACGTTCAAGACGGTAGAGTGAGTAGCGTTAAATTAAACGGTATCATGACACAAATCTTTAAGAGTAGTTTGATACCAACATTCAACTTCTTTAACAATTCACAACCACCGACTGCACTGAATAACATTCTCGCTATGACGTCAAATCAGAGATAAAAATAGAGATGTTAAAAAAGAGAGTACCTACTCCTTTGCATTTAGTTTCCACTTTGTATTTCGGACGTCTTTAAGTCTCGGAGACATAAATTACTTTACTCGAATTAATTCCATATTGATTTCAAACTAAACCTCGCAAATTAATAGGAATTTGATATCAGTTAAAATTATGGAAGTCATCGATGTTGTAATTTTGTCACATAGGTACTTTATAGCAACGAACTTTTTTACAAAATTGTTGGTTGTGTCGTGTTTAGTGTCGTGTTTAACATACATCTCAATTGTTGTTTTCAGTTTTGAATAAAAAAAAATCTATTTAGTTAAAGTAAACCTAACGTACCGTGGAAGTCGGTGAAATTTCATTTCCTTTTAATATATTGGATAGGAAAAGTGGTAATAATTTGAATCATAATTTCAATCTGCAATTGGCTCGTAATGCCTCCCAAATAGTTCTTAACCAGTTTCATTTTTGAAACGGCTGGAGTTTTTCCGCAGAAACCGTAGTGAGCGGACCTTTCATCATAACTATGATTGTAAGCATTTCGATAAGTATTTTAAAATGGTAATATCGAGGGCCCTCGAAACCCGATGGCTTCGTCACTCGATGCTGCCGACGCCACGCTTCGGCTGTTAAGAATAGTATAAGAAATAATATTACAATAGCACTTGAAAAATTAGGCGTGAAGTGGAAGTTTTATACTTCTGCTTTTCGCCAGGTGATTGAGGTAACCACTAAACTAAAAGGTGCCAACGTATAATTGTCTACCTACGGGTCGAAACACCCAACAATGTCCATGGGCGCCAGTTATCAGGCATCAGGCGCTTAGCATCAGGACAACCTTCTTTTCACATAAAAAGAAGAAAAATTAAACGTCGGTATATAATCAGTCTTTACGATGTAAAGTGAAGCCTGTTTTATTAGCAGGGGCGATACGTGAGATATGGCCTGCTGAGATGGCTCGCTTGCCATCTTCTTATATTAAAAAACCGGCCAAGTGCAATTTGGACTCGCGCACGAAAGGTTCCGTACCTTTAGAGGGCAAAAAATCGTGTCTTTTCTATCTCTATTCAATTTATTAATAGATTTCTAATCGCTGATTTGTTTTTCAGTTAAAAATAAGCTAAATCTTCCACTGCCCAGGAATTACCATGCCTTATGATAATTTGGCAACGCCGTCCGAACTTCGACGTCGCCTGCCGTTTGAGTGCCAACGAATTTGAAGTGGCAATAGTATCTTGACTATGAAGATTTTTGCATTCAACACATTGTACCGGGGTTTGCTGTAGGAAATATGCGAAACGATTATAACTTCTTTGCAAATGAAAGCCATATAATGTATGTTACTTTACTTAGGCCGGACCTAAGTAAAGTGAGAGTAGACATTATACATTAAAAATGTACGCCCCGCTACTGGGAAAAAGTAAAGTGACAGCCTATAGATGTCCCACTGCTGGGCAAAGGCCTCCTTTGTACTGAGGGTAAGGGCATAATCAACCTCGCGGCCCCACTGCGAATTGGCAGACTTCACATATCTTCCAAATATTTATTTTGTTTTTAATTCGAAAATATGCGCTATTTGTTTCGCTCATGCATTTTTTTTCTTCACCTCTGATCAATTTCATTGCTGCCGGCACCGGGATCGAACTCAGGTTGCTTGATTATATTAAATTAAAGGCGAGCGCCCAGACAATGAGCTATCGCGGCCATTACTGGGAAATGGCATGCTCAATACAGAGGGTAAAAATTCACGCTACTCCCGTGCAAATTAGCAGACTACACACATATATCTTATTATTATTTTGATGACTCCGTGGCGCAGTGGCCAAGGTATATTGGCTTCGGCGCCGGGGCTCGTGGGTTCGATTCCCACACGGGATAACTATTTGTGTGACCCACAGATAGTTGTTTCGCATCTGGGTTTTTGTCCGCGTGAAATTTATGTTTGTAAAACGTACTTACAACACAGGATAAAGTTATCCTAAAGTAAGGGCAATGCTTTAAAAAAAAATAAGAATTATTAGTCTTAACGATGTTTCAATGCTATTTTACCTCTCTCATTAGGGCGCTGAAATTATAAATGAAAAATTTATAATCATCTCGGTACCGACACTCAAATTATTATTCGCATTGTTTGAATGGCTTTATTAAAAGCGATTGCCAGGTCACTGAGCTACCGCGGCTCAGAATTAAGTCTTACTTGTCTATCATAAATTTAAAATATTTATGACTCCGTGGCGCAGTTACCAAGTTGTCAAGGCTTCGGCGCAAGGGGTCTTGGGTTCGATTCCCGCTCGGGATAACTATTTATGTGGCCTACGGATAATTGTCCACATGAAATTTTTCTATGTAAAATGTCCTCACAAGTGGATAATTTTCTCCTAAAGTAATGGCAGAAAAACGATAAAGAAAAAACCGGCCAAGTGCGAGTCGGACTCGCGCACGAAGGGTTCCGTGCTATTATCTATTAAAACGGCAAAAAATCACGTCTGTTGTATGGGAGCCCCATTTATATGTATACTTTTTTATCCTGTTAGTATTTGATGTTATAGCGGCAATAGAAATACATCATCTGTGAAAATTTTAACTGTCTAAATACCACGGTTCATAAATACAGTCTGGTTAGATGGACCCATTTTACCCTTTAGGTACGGAACCCTATAAATCAATAACAACCGTTATTGATAGCACATGTAAATAACCTTTTCTCGCTTTCCCTAATAATTATCTACAGGCGATATTTATGATGTCTTAATTACCAAGGTTAATGATATATAGACCTTATTGCCATTGCGAATACATTATTAATACTGTTATTGGCTTTGGCATTGATGTTAATATAGTCATTCAGACGTAACACACGAGGACAAGTGAGCTTCGACGAACGTTACCTATGACAAAATGCAGCTTCGACGAAAAAGTATTACCTAAAATGAAGAAAACTTAATCTAATAAAATATTTTTCGCATGGTCTTAGTCTCATAAAACGTTCAACATTTAGAAGTCATAAAACGCAATTGAATCATGCAATATAGGTTATATCCATTTGTTTACAATAGTTTGCTAAAGTATGTAATAACAGTCGCAAGTATGGAAGAGTATGTTGCATTTATCGACCTCAATCAACGTCGACTTGGAATTAGGTATATACTTCGACAGTCTGCTTTTACTTGTATTTCATCGATTTTTGGATATTATTAGCTTACGTATAACTTGTAGTAAGAGCTCATATAATTTCAAGGACATCTGTTACGTTTCAATGTACAAAGATTCCTTGTCAAGGTTAACACTACAAAAACCTTAGTGTCTCTATAAAATAAATATAGATAAAAAGATTATCTACTCAGTACCGTCAAATATATACCGAAATATGTAATATTTGTATTAACTACTCCGGCAATTTTAAAGTTTTTTAAGGGATTCCTGAAAAATTCCGTAAGCTTAGGATAGAACGAAGGATTCGATATTCTAATAGAATTTGATTTACCTGTTTCGCTTGATGAGGTAACCGGAGCCCATTTTATTAAAAGATGGCAACGCATCTGCAACCATACGGGTGTTGCAAATGTCCATGGGCGGCGGTTACCACTTAATATCACCTGAACCGCCAGCTCGGTTACCGCCTTCACACATTAAAAAAAATGTCAAATGTAACGCGTGCTTTTGCCTTTCAGAAGTGCTCCAGGAATGGGGGATACGTCGACTGCCGCTCGTGGACTCGACTCGGACGTGTAGAACGAGTAAGCACCGATCTCGAAGCGACCGAAGTGCGGCGGAATAGCTCCGCAACTTCTATACCAGATATGCGTGCGATCTCCGTTCGCGCCGCGTCGTGAGGTCGATGCGCTATGGACACGCTGCACGTAAGCCACGCGCACAGCAAGGGCTCGAGCCGCAGCCAGTCGCCGTCGACGGCCGACCTGGCGCGCGACCCGGCGGTCGTCACCGATGACGTCATACGCTCCAGGGTCCAGTCCACCGCGCACCATGTCGTCAGTGTAAGTAGGGCTGGTGGACGCCAAAAAGTTCATCGACTTGGGAAGCGACAAACTTTCACCTCATGTTTGGGGACATTTTGAAATTTAGCTTATCTAATCGTATCTATGTTTATATTATGATTCCTGCCGTTTGGTTGTCAACAGTAAACCATTAATATCGTCAAGAATAATATAGGATAATTCATTATTACAATTTAATAACTTTTAATAAAAATTCTGTTTGATTAAACTTCAAGTGAAGTGTTACAAGATGTTGCACGATTTTAAAAATGATGATGAATGAAATATTATAGGCAAACAATATAATATCATGTTTATTCCCTTCAAAGTAAGGTAAGTCATTAATTAAATGTATTTTACTTATGTCAAAGAATAAATGATTTTGATCGTGTAAATAAAAAATAGAAATGGGCCGAGAATCGAGCCCTGCGGAACACCCATTGATACCATCGACCCAGAAGAACTTTCACCTTTACAACTTGATATTAAGGAAAGTATCAAATACGTTACCGAAAACCTTAAATAACATGTAAGTCGTGTCTTCCTTGAATCTTGTAAAATTAAAGTATTATCTCTACCTTCGGGAATTGTGTGTTTTTATAGTGCGCGGACGGATAAAATCTCTTCAGCAAACTAAATTGGTATCAAATTATAAACGCATACACAGATACTATAGCCATATGATTTATAGCCTCTATCCCAATAATAGATAGTTAGCGTTTCTTTTCGTGACTGCAGCTGGATTGTAAATTTAATCTTTATGCACAACGTCTAGACGTCTCTCGGAACGGCGCCATAGTCTGAAAATGACTGAGATAAATATGATGAAAAGGAATAGCGATTAACGCGACCCAGAAGTGACGTTGATAGAATTATTGCATTTTATATACAGCGTGTCTTTACAATCGCGACAATAACTGAACACACATATAGAGGATAACTTTTTAAAATTGTATTAAACATTTACATTCTTTAAACATCAATATTTACAGAGTTATTAAATTTTCCAAAACAAAGAATTTTAGAACAACCTTAGATATAAAACTGTAACGTAAAGTTCATTTTTAAAGGTCACAAAGCATATGAATGGGTTGAATGAATTTAAAAGAGACAATTAGACATACTGTTAGAAGGAGAGGGTTGTAATGCGACGCGGTGGCAATGAATGAAAGAGTCAGTACATTCAGAGGAATGTATGAATCAGTCATTTGTAGTTGTTTAGGATGTTACAAATTTTGTTTCTTTATTACTTAATTAGTTGGTTTGAAAAAAAAAATTTTGAATTTTTTTTACGTTAATATTTTTTTATGATTATTGGCAAGTAGCGTGAGTCATGTGTTCATTTATCGTCGCGGTTGAAACGACACGCTGTATAAGTTTTGACTTCAACGTACAAATTCCGATCTTATACGCACTGATTAGACAATTCGTATATTAATTAAGACAATTTTGAACGTTTCCACACATTCAGCGGCATCGGCACGTCAAACACTTCAGTCCGTTCCGTGACCATGAATATTATAAGGTATTCAAAACCTCCGTTAATCTAATAAATTATAAAATTTATTAAGGATTTGTTTGCGAGAGAGGGTGTATATCCTCGCGATCTATATTTGTACCTTTACTATTTATAATGTTATATCATAAATCTAAAGTTTTTTTTTTCTGTGAACGTGCTAATTTCTGGTTCTTCCAGTGGGATTTGCATTAATATCACGCTACGACCTACGGGGGCGTAGTAGAAACGTTCATCGCGAATGAAATCGTATGGAACAGCTAGTATGAAATGTAAAGGACAGGTGGTACTCAATTATTTACTATGCGAATAATGTTTTGTAAATATATGTGCACTGATATTTACTAAATTACTGAAATACTATCGCTTTTTTAAGTTGACGTAAATTTTGTTACATTAGGAAATATTAAATATCAGAGCTCCTGCAGTGCCGTTGTAAAATATTCTATTTTATATTCAACATTCTCTAACATAAAACTGAAATAAACATCTTTTATTGAGTTGCTCGCGCGGCGGATTGTATCATTTCATATTCGCGAACGAGTTGAAGACAGAGATGTGTTGGGTACGCGATAGTTGAACATCTGGACAATTACACTGAGCGGGTAGGTAGAAATAAATTTTGATTCGCGACTACAACAAATAAGCTTCCATTTAATTCAAGCAACATTGCAAACGGTGTATCGAGACATCTTCGCAATAGACCTTTTAAGTAATTTTCATTACTATCACCCAGTGGTCGAAATTCCACCATAATTAATTTCAATTATAAGTTCAAGTTCTTAACAATATTAGTCTATTCTGAATTTGATCACATACTTTAACAATAAACGCAAGAGTATATAATTAATTATTCGTGTGTGTCAAATACATAGTAGTGTGTATTTTGTTTTTTTTTATTTATTTAATGTATTTTTTAATATATAATTTAAAAAGAAATATTATTCTGCACTCTTTATCAATATAAATTATAAATGTGGGAAATTTCATACTCCGTCCGCGTAGTTCTCGTAAAAAGGGATAGAAAGTTTTTGCTTCGCGTATTAATATATATTTTATTTATGCGAAAAGTTGTCAAACGAGCAGGCGGTTCACCTGATGTTAAGTGAATACCGCCGCCCATGGACATCTGCCACACCCGAGGGTTACGGAGGCGTTGACAACCTTTTGAAAATTGGGCTCCGGCTACCTCACTCACCAGAAGAAACGCGAAAGTATTTGTCATACTTTCACTTTATGCCGGTCTTCTGTGAGGTCGTGGTACTTACCCGGACGGGCCTGCCCATTCGTGCAACAGCCGAGGCTGCTGCGTGGCCCTACCACCGTAATATATAGATTACTAAATTACACCCGTGTAATGCGATCAGTTGTTGCGTTGCGTTCATACGAAATACATAAAGATTATTTTAAGATATAAAACAAAATTGAAATCATAATGTCTAAACACGAATATTAATAATAAATATAGAGTATACGTGCATTGACCGTATCGCAAATATTGTTAAATGTAGGTAGTTAGTTTTGTTACTCGCAGCGATAACCCTTCGTGTATAACATTGTCTTATCAATACAAAATTGTTTATTACATCCTAATACTGGGTTAGTTATGTATCCACTATAATAATTGGACAAACAAACATTAATAGTTAACAAAACATTCTTAATTTGGGTTTATAATCCTCTTATTAAACAATTTATAAAGATTTCAGTTATTCATAGTTTCAGTTATTTGTTATAATACCTCCATTAGTATACAGTTTCGAGAATCGTATTACTTAATAAATAAAAATGTTAGTACAATACGTCAATCATATAAAATATCAATCATAGAAGATAATATGGAGAATAAGTTAATACTGTCCTAATTATCATTATTTTTTAAAGTAAAGATTACGTTTCACACAGTTCAAACAGTTCCATTAAACAGAATATCGGCGTGGAAAAAATAAATACGTGAGCGAAGATGCATCCGCACTGTCGACCGCATTAATGAAAAAAATTATGTTCTCAATTCTCTCATTGATGCTTGTCCGTTTTACGCTATTCAACGCATTCAATTCACTTGACGCTAACGGTGCAGCGGTTTCCAGGAGCCCTCGTCGAATTCCTCGTCGCGCCACAGCGAACGGGGCGGCCACCACGTCAAATCCCACTCCAGGGACCTGGGCAGCAGCCCGATGGTCTCCAGCGCCGCCAACTCTTCTAGAGAGTGAGTACTAGTCCGCCGAGTTAGTAATTAGACGCTAGTTGATGCAACAGATTTCTTCATCTGTTCCCGAAACTGTGGAAATTCCCCACGCTTTATAAATCTTTTGCGGCTTCTGTAACCTTGGTTAAGTATGTTTGTACTGTGACGGGCGAAGCGCGGGACAATGCTTGGCCAATCTATTTTTCACAAAATATAACTTAATCTGGAATATCAATTCAATTATAAGCGGTATTATTTTCTTAGTATTAACAACATTTCCGTTTCCGCAACCGTTTCTGTTTCCGTTTCCGCTTATATTTTATTTTGATATTTGTTTCTGTTTCTGATGCATCATAGATTAATCGCCAGTTGCAAAAATTAATAGGCGGTAAGCCCGTCAATGTAAACCAAGTTAAATCTTTTCGTTGATGTAAAATTTACTCTTTTGTTAGTTTATGCATACATATTTTGAGTCATCATAAGGAAAACAACAAAAATACTGTGTATTATATTGCTACATAATAAACGTCATATACCTGATGTATCACTCCCTCTGGCTAAACAAATGAACGAGTGTGTAAATAAATAAGTTATAAACTTTATCGTATCAGCCTAAGTGAAGATTGTATCAATCATTTCATGAAGATCTCTTGACCATTACATTGAGTTCTGTACGGACCATTGGTCTGTTTAAATTCTGGCACACGATGAGAAAAAAGCGGAAGACAAAAAAGGCCCACTTAATAAAAAAAATCTTAAACAATAGTTGAACGTTCAAGGTAACATTCTGATAACGACGTGAGAATTTCGGGTCATCAACAATGTTAATTTTATATATTTATCTTAGACACGAGGCAGGATAAATAGAATTTTCGAGATTGAAGGTTTTTCTTCGTTTCACAGCGTTGAGACCTCTTTGTTGCACACTTGTATACAAGGCTATTTTTAATATAAATGTTAAAAAAATGGGTTGCGTGTAAAAGTCACATACAGTTCGCATATCGAATAAGTTCTAATTCTTGGACGACTTCAACGGTATGACACTAACAAATCAATCAATGAACAATGTTTAAGATAAGTGTAATTTGTGTCTATCGTGTAAGATTATATTAAATATGAATATAAAGAGAATATATGACATATTTTTTTTACTTTTTAAAAAAACATTGTCCTTACTTTAGGATAACACTATCCTCCGTTGTAAGGACGTTTTACAAATATAAATTTCACTTGGACAAACACCCAGATGCGAAACAATTATCTATAGATCACACAAATAGTGGTCCCGTGCGGGAATCGAACCCACGACCCCCGACGCCGAAGTCAATACCTTGGCAACTGCACCACGGAGTCAACATAATTTTTTTTTGTTTTGCGCCTTTGAAACGTGTATTTAGAAGCTGATAGCTAAATATTGAAGAGTACGCCATATGGCATTAGTTTGATACAGTCTATTCTTTCCAGCTTGGAAGACTCGCCACAGAAGAAGAATGTTTCTAACCTCTTACCGTCAGTTGACTACAGCGTGTACAGCCCTAACGTGTCATACGCGTTGTCATCGGCCGATGAATATGGGTCACCGGCATACAGAGGTACGGCTGACTTCAATTAATAATAATTTTTTTACGTTAGAAGATAGAAAATGAGCTGGCGTTTCACCTGATATTCAATGATAACCGCCGCCTATAGCCGTTTGAAACACCCGTAGGGTTCCAAATGCGTTACATTTTGATAAATTGTGCCTCGGCTACCTCACTCGCTAGACGAAACGCATAATACTTCTACTTCACCGGTCTTCTTGCATGGTCCTACCACAGCAAAGATATTCTCTAACTCTTCCGATAAGTTATTTTTTTATGTCAGAAGGTGGTTATACGGCTGGCAGTTGATTCTAAATTAATCCATGGACATCTAGAACACCCTTGAGCTTGCAGAACCTCATTCACTAGAAAAAGCGCCAAAGTATAATACTTTCACTTCACGTTGGTTATCACGGCACGGTATTCAAATCGAGAAGCGTAAACAAGCCTTTGTATTAAGCTTTTGAAAACGGTAAGCTTTTCACCGCTCACCCAAGTTTAGTCCAACCAATGGCTACTTCTTGATAACAATTATCATTCAATATGAATATCTAATTCCTTGCTTTCTTCAATTGCAGCCCAAGATGGGGACTACTCGAATCAGGGTAAGACTTATTTGTTAACTTCATGTGTGTTTTTTTTACATAATTAATGTCTTTATAAGTCACATTCTGACCGTAATATCAAGTATTGATTGACAATTGTCGCTTGCTATGTATTAAATGTATTAAACAATATTTCTTTAGAATTTACGTACGTCGAAATAATTAAATAAGATAAAACGTTTAAAAAAATATAAGTATTCAATTAACTCTAAAGCAATAAATCGATTACACCCCCAAACACATTCAACAAAACAGCATCGTATTGCACATTTTTTTTTATTTAATTCATTTGAACTAGGATGAATAACAGTCTTTATTGATCTAATATTTACAAGGTTAAATCTATCTAAAATTATAGTTTGCACAATTTTTATTTTCATTTGTAGGAAATAAGGAAAGTAATAGCCTTAAATCTAGTTTGCTCTACTCTCTTGCAGACGACTATGAGAGCAGTGCAAACGCAACATCAGCGAAAGCGTTGGCGGCCATAGCGCACCTTAACAGCAAGGTCGAGCGCACCAAGGACCTGATACGACTTGAGCAGACCAATAGGGACGGTGAGTTGTCTTTAAACCGACTATTTACACAACGAACAACACTTAACAACTAAGTGAATCTATTCTAAAGTAGCCTTAAGCAACGTTATCTAGAACCCACGACCGCCGACGCCGAAGCCTAGCTTAGCTACGGCGCCACCGGGTCGAACAAAAACTAAAGTAACAGCCTATACATGTCCCACCGCTGGGCAAAGGCCTCCTCTGTAAAGAGGGTACCAAAGCGTAGTCCACCACGGGACCCCACTGCGGATTGGCGTACTTCACATATTTTCGATTTTTTTTTGTTATTACTAAAATATGCAGGTTTCCTCACGATGTTTTCCTTCACCGATGAGCACTTGATGATAAGTCAGCATTTAAAATTAGCAACTTCACCGGTGCCCGCACCGGAGATCGAACTCGGGTTGCTCGAGTAGATTGAATTGAAGGCGAGCGCCCCGAACACTTGAGCTATCACGACTCGAACAAAAAAAAAACATTTTTTATTCATCTCCGGATTGTTCCCTGAACCAGAGAACGTGAACGAGTACCTCAAGCTGGCCGCCAACGCGGACAAGCAACAGCTGCAGCGGATCAAGGCGGTGTTCGAGAAGAAGAACCAGAAGAGCGCGCTGTGCATCGCCCAGCTGCAGAAGAAGCTCGAGGGCTACAACAAGCGCATTAGGAATTGGGAGGTGCTTCTTTTTTATGTGAGAGGTTACCAAGCGAGCTTAGTAGTTTACCTGCTGTTGAATGATAACCGCCGCCCATTGACATCACGGTGGTAGGGCCACGCGGCAGTCTCGGCTGTTGCACGAATGGGCTGGCTCGCCCGGGTAAGTACCACGACCTCACTGAAGACCGGCGTAAAGTGGAAGTGTAATACTTTCGCGTTACGTCTGGTGAGTGAGGTTGTCAACGCATCTGGTACCCTCGGGTGTAGCAGATGTCCATGGGCGACGGTATTCACTTAACATCAGGTGAACCGTCTGCTCGCTGGGCAACTTTTCACATAAAAAAAAAAGAATTTGCAACAAGCAATTCGTAATTAACTGGGCCGCGGATACCTCACTCACCGGACGAAACGCAGCAACGAATCCCGAAGCGCCGAAAGTGTTCGATCATTTACCTGCAAAAATTTACGATTTAAAAAGTTTTATCTTGAGTGCTGAGACCAGCACTAAAAGTAAAGAATTAATCTCAACAAGTAGAATATAATTAAAAAAAAAACAAAAACCCGACTGCGTTTCTGTGCATTTTTATTATAATATACCCAGTGTCATTCTCGCAGTAAATACGAATCTAACGACACCTCTCAAGCTAAAATCCATTGAGCCATTCAGGCTACAGAGCGTGCCATACAATTATACATACATACATACATACATACTCTCGAAAAACATAACCCTCCTTCTGGCGCAGTCGGATACAAACAATAATTAATTTTTAAACCAATCCGTTAAAGCTCGGATAATATACATTTGACAGTGTTTGAGTGATTGGGAGATGGAAAATCAATGTGTTACCGACAGCTAATTGCATCATCACTGCAAGTTACCACACGCCCGGGACTACACACATGCAAAGGATTTCACTATAATTAATATCTATTTACAGCAACATGGAACAAGCGGACAAGCACATAGACAACCACGGGAAGTGCTACGCGATATGGGACAAGGATTAAAGTAGGTAGTTTTTCTCGATGACGTCAGAAACATTTCAGAGATAATTTAATTTCACACGTCCGCCACACACTACAGGCCTTAATGTTTGTTTGTGTCTCAATTCCATAATTACGAAAATACAACTCGGAAATAGCTTAAAATATGTGATGAGGTGAACCCATTACTTTTCCGCGTGTTCAAAAATTTTATATAATAGATGTTGAGAACGTAAAATCATCCTCTTATGTATCTGCTGTTCAAAGAAATGGGTTTAATCGAACAATTATTATTGAAACCTACCTCTAAGGCCGGCAACACAATTGTGTGTGTGTCTATGTATGTGTATAAGCGGAGATGATTGCTTACCATCAGAAGGCCTGCTCGCTCGCTCGCCTTCTTTTACCGTAATAAAGTACATTTGTACTTATGTACGCACGTAATTTATACCACTTTAGCGTAACAAAAAAAATAGCACCAGTGCCAGTACTTTTTGTTTGAGAAAAAGAAATTAAAGGCAATTGATAGGGGGTCAACTTCTTTGAAATTATAGCTAAATGTCAAAAAGTTGCTATTGGTTGCCATGGTATCTCAACATTTTATATATTTATAATATATAGGCCTTTACATTACTTAACTTTGGTCTTATTATTTAATTACCTTCATTATATGATCATTAAGTGCCGCGTGTAATCACCTTGCATCTGCTAAAATATTCCTTTGACGATTGCGCTAAGATTTGGAATTGGAAATAAGGGCTTAGAACAATAATTTCTTTTCCGAACATAGGTACAAAGGCCAGCAGTGGGAAATGTATAAGTTGATGTTTAATTTTATTTATTTATTTAAACTTTTACACAAAAAATTAACATAGTGTAAAGGCGGACTTATATTTTACAGGATTTAACTGTGGTAGGACCACGCAACAGTGTTCACTGTTGCACGAATGGGCAGGTCCGTCCGGGTAAGTACAACGATCTCACAGAAGACCGGCTTAAACTAGAAGTGTTACTCTTCCGCGTTTCGTCTGGTGAGCAAATAGCCGGTGCCAATTATTTGAGGGTGGCAACGCATTTGCAACCCCACGGGTGTTGCAAATTTCGAGCCGCCAGCTCGTTTGCCACTTTCTCACATAAAACAATTCACAGGAACGTGGGCGGCAACATACGCGACGGCATCACCGGCCTCGGTGGCAGCGTGATGGCGGCGCCTCGCGAGTTCGCCCACCTCTTCTCGCGCTCCAACCGCTTCGGGTCGGCGGACAATATAGCCCAGCTCGCCGGTCTGTATCGCCGCCGGCTCGATTATCGATTTTACGCGCACAACACTACACGAATACGCACCTTTTGAATTGATGGGACCTAGTTAGGAAAATAATGATTTCGACTTTGTCAGGAGACGACCTGAATCGACTACCTTTTTCTAATCCTGGTCTCTTTCACTCCGCTGCAATCCCCGCGTTTGTTCACAAGTGCACATATCTTCGTTTTACGTATCCCAATCCCAAAAAATATTTTAAATAGGTCACCATAATTCTAGACCTAGTTTTGTGCCTATCGATGCTTTAGTACTACAGATGCTTATGAATGGACAAATTTGAATCAAATATTCTCGTTAAAGCTGTCGAAATTGATGATGAGTTTGATCGTTAATAGGTTGATAGTTTTGGATGTTTATAAACTAAGCCAAAGCTGCTGTGCATAAACATCTGTGTTGCATTGTGTAGACTTCGGACTTTAGGTGCGTAGCCGGTCTGCTATGATCCACATTAAGAAATCAGTGCGGTCTACCAGTTATACGCGTTCTGCACGCTATTCGACCGAAGTATTTACGCAATAAACAACTAAAAGTTAATTTTTTTACACGTAAAAGTTGTAATGCCTAAAATTTAGCCCGTTCTGTGTTTAAAAGTTTTCTTTGATCTTCACTACTAAAATATACAGGGAGGTTTTTGTATTTGTATCCATCTTTATTAAATTCAAGCCTTAAATAATGTTATATAAAAAATGATAAATATTTAAAATCATTCGTAATTAATTAATTACATTCATTTGAACTTATCTCAAAATGTGCATGATTTATGAGCAACTCATTTATTTTACGCGCAATCATTCATAACTAACGCGCACACAAGTTCGTTTCAAAAGTATACGACGCATTTATGAATGACTAGCGCGTTGTCAACAAGTTCTGTTTTTTAGGGAATAGAATGGTAATTTTCTTTGAAAAAAAAAAGTTTGTTTTTAGTTCAATAAGCGATTATACTACCGAGTCTGAACCTCCTGTGTAAATTTGGACACCTTTAAAAAAGCCTACCTGTATAATATTTTTTCTTCCTTGAAGTCGAAAATATGAAATAAATTTCAAAGATATAAATAAAATTAACTTGTACTCCTACTTCGTAGTGATTATGAAAATCAGTGAACCATTCAGCAAAAAGTTAATCGTTTTAAAAATTACCACTTTTTAACACTTTATAAAAATATAGTACTTATATTTAATAAGCACGACTCTGTTCTCTCTTGTGAATTTGAAACCGATTTTGGTATTTTTTTTAATTATTCAGTTATCTATCATAACGCAGGAAGGGTCTAGTTTCGTTTGACATTATTTTAGATAATTTAATATGACTTCATGATTCGGAAAATAAAGTGTTTTTTTTTTACATTTTTCTAACTAGAATATTTAAACCAAAGGTGTTTTCATTTTGCAATTAGTCAGTCTCCATTTTATTATTGGTCAGGCTTAATACGAATGCTGTTTATTCATCTAGCCTTTGCATTGTGTTGCCATTTTGGCATGCGTTTTAGTTTAAAAATAAAATTATAAAATGTTTTTTAATATCTTATCTAACATGATCGAAAAAATTTTCAATAAATGTTGATTTTATCTCATTAGTGTAATGTTTTATAGCCTTTATGTATACATCATTATAAATCATATATTTTGTCTCGCAGAGAACACGGGTCCTTGTAAGTATATCGCGTGTTTATCACTGGTCACTAATCAGATCATTGTCATTTAGTTCTAACCATATTAATTATTTCCACTAATTATATTTTAGTTTAGCTCCAACAATTCCCCACTTAATACAAAAGTGCAATAATTTCGCTTGTTCAGCGCCCAAATATTCTAGTCATTTTTTTTTTTAGGTCGAAGTTATCCATTTTTAAATAAAGGTTGTTGTTTCTAAAGTGGTGCGAAATCTTAGTCGTGTCGTGTTTTAGCGGCAATTTTTTGCGGCATTCATAGCTTTCCGTTATCGAGGCGAGTGGTGGGGCAATTTTACACTGAGTTTTTGATTGTACTAATTCTACGATAATTATTTTGTATTTTGTGATTCTATTTAAAATTAAGGATGAATCGAATTATGACATTTTTGTTTCGTCGGTAGCCATCCATAATAACTAGTTTTCGACTCCGTTTAAAAATATTGAATAAAATTAAAACTAATAATGAAGTATTATTTTTTAATATCATTAGGTCACATAAGTTTTATTACTGCAAACGTGAATGAATAATATCTCAGTAATTTTTGTACTTAGAGATAATCCTGAAGAATTGGAAATATATTCTCCTTGTTGTATGTATTTCCCCACTTTGCGACTTAACGTAATAAGCACATAAGATAAGAGCACCGCCTAAATTTTTTCGATTTAAAAAATTCAAACTACTAGATAAAAATATCATCAATAATTTTGAATAGTTCCCCATTATTTAAAAAAAAAAAACACTGCAGCCTAAAACTATGCTTTTCCATCGGATACCTCATCGCTCCGTAAATATAGTAGGTACTGCATATTTAGACACCCATAAATTAGATATGTCACTCCAATATCTTTGTTTATTTGCTAACCGGACTCGACAGCTGACGGTAAGCAGTAATAGTCTTAGTAGGTAAACTTCAGTCTTACTTTAGAGAAATATTTCACAGATGCCTTGAAGACGTTACACTCACTCGATTTATACACTATGCAGGCGATCACTGCTTTTCACTAACGTAACCTTTGCGCCTCGCGTTGTAAATGTGACGTCATTCCGTGTCATAACTTAAACATAACTCGAGCGTTTACCTAACTCAGTTTGATATGCATGAGCGTCGAGATAAACTCGTTCAGTCGCAGGGCGCACGTGAACCCGCGCTCGGTTGTTGTTTGCGTGTCTGTTTGTCCGCTGCCGAGCGAGATAATGCTGTTTCGGAAGTGTAAGAGGTGCCGGAAGAAATGTAAATATTTATCGCACGCATCTGTGCCTTTGTTTCTACGATAAAACTTGCATTACATTCGTGACGGTGATAAGTTTTTTTTTCTCTGTTTTAATGTGTCTCGTGCCTAATACACCGAGTAATATGTAGTCTTTTTTATGTTAATACTTGAACATCGGTCGTCATAAAGTGTTCGCTGTTCGCTTGCAAAGTTATAATATGAATAATTTCAAAAGATATGATAAAGTGCGCAAAAGTCATGGTTCGTACAGGGTAAAATAAAAAAAAACAATTTCTATATAAATTTGGTCGAATTTTGCCCACAGACAATAAATAAATGTTTCTTATCTTGTAAGCGCAGCACTCGAAACAATACGAAAATTTCATTTGTATTTTCTATTAAGTATTAACTTTCTACACTGTTATTGATCATTTATTCTATAACTAATATTAAGCTTTTGCTTTATTTGTATTAATAATCATTATGATATTTAACTCTTCATAGTTTTTTATAACTTTCTAAAACCACACATTAATTTAACACATCTGTTTATAAGCCTTTATGCACATTCTACTTTACATTAATTTAATAATATTTTTTGTACTTAATTAAATACTTGTTAACTTATGAATATTTATTATAATATTTTTTATGCCTGTTTTAATATTTTAAACTTACTCATCCGGTGTTCCTGTTGCTTATCATGTTTTCTCATTTTTGCACGCTAGCCCCACAACACGCGGAACTGAGAGGTAAATATTTGCTGTTTTCATAATAGACGATGTTTATTTTTTCCTAATGTATCTGAACCCGCTTTATACTAGACGAGCTTTTTTGATAGTTAAAACTTGAATGTTTTTAATTTGTATTTTACGAATTGTTCTCATCGCATTTTTACACAAACTGTGTCGTTTGCAAAATTGTTTAAGTTTTGCAAGTATACTACTTTAAAATGCTGCTTTTCTTATTTTAATGTCTTTTTTTTTATATCTGCACGATTGTTAAACGTTCTATACAACTATTTGCCTTTTTGCGTTATTGTAAATTCTCTATTTGTTCTTAAACTTGTTTATACTTTTACCACGCCTTTTCATTCGCATGCATAATTAAAATTTTGAGTGTTTATTACAATGAAAGTATCTTCGTGCCATTTTATACTCATAACTTCGACTAGATATTACAACTTAATAAATATCTCTTCGCCATTCGCCACTAATGCGAATAATAGTAGTATTTTTCATATCACAAAATAATTGTTTGACGAATGATTTGGTTGAAAATCAAAATTTTCTTACCAAGAGTTCGTAAAGCCTTTTTTATTTAGACAACAATTTTATACTCATTTAATTTTTATTGAATAAATTCTAATTATTACAACTAAAATTCCCGCGACACAAAATGCGTGATAGGTCCGTAACTCGTTAGGAGTTATCAATGCTACATTGCAGTAACTGTACAAAACATTCTATCAATAAAATGTGTCATGTTCAAACAACGTAACACTGTGTATGAGTCATAGTAGGGTTGCCCCTCACTACATCCGATGCGTAATAATTTAGTGCCCACTGTGACTACTCTAGTCGTTCAATTTCGTTTCCCAATTCCCATATCATGGATACTGTAGTATTTTTTGCAGTACTCATTATCATGGTATTTTTGACCACCCGAGGACATAAATAACCAAGACCAGACGTCCGATGTCAATTCTCTTTATGAATTGTTTGGAAATAACAAAGTTTTTTCTCAGTGTACATCTTATGGAAACAGATGCGCTGATAGCAGAAGTCGACCAATGAGGCATATTTTTGTTCACAATTCCTTTAAATGTCATGTCACTTGAGTAAGGAAAGATTGACTAGATTCAATTGATTATACTGATATTTTTTATTCTATTAAGGACATATTTAAAATCTTTTTTTTAACTTGTCTGTATATCTCAATCATTACAATTATTTATTCGAAAACCACGTGTTGTTATTAGGTAAAAAATCACCGAAATTATACGGCACTCTTGTGAAATATGTACTTGAACCGCGTAAAACTCATTCCGAAGCGGTTGAATCCATTGTAAGGCACCGTCAATATTTCTATTTGAATAAACATCTTCGGATATATAATCTAATATAGAAAATTATCTAATCTGTAAGTAAATATCTAATGAAAAAGCTTAAAAAAATGAAAAAAGGTACAATTGTTTGAAAACAACATTTACTAATGCAATACGATATTTAGTTTATGACGAGTAATATTAATATTGTAACTAGGTATTACTTTACTTATTAACGGACGTCGTGGCTGTACTATGATAGATCTGGTACTTTATCCCATGTGATTGGCAATAAAATGATATTTTTATTATTGAAAAGAATATTGGATAGGTTCGTAAATATTAACTGCCATATTCATGGGTTCTTATGGGCCATAATCATAATCGATTATATAACGTCTATATAAAGCGTCTGCAGTTTATTATTTCAACAACACTGAACATAACACCACTCACTATATGAAATCTATTTAAGACTGTGAAGCTGTTATTAACAGTATTAAAAGCGAATTAATGCCTTAATCATACAACTGCTACAAATAACTAGAGGTTTACAGAATGCGAAGTTCGCAACGAAATCGCTAAGTTTATAACAGGAGCTATTAATAGTATAGGCACTAACTTAAAAAGTTGCGGTAATGCGTAATTTTAAGCTTACACAAACTTTGTAACTAATACTTGATAAAAACATGCCCATCGTGCTGTTACTAGCGAAAAGAGGCCTTAAAGAATTGAATTGGCGACAAATAATGTGCACTAACGATGGCACGCTTTCCGTAACGCATAAATACGAGTATCTAGTCTAGACTTCCACTGTGATAAAGCCACGCAGCATCTCTCTGTTCGACCGGGAAAAACCACTAGCACATAGAAGGTCCGGCATGAGTAAAAAGCACATTTACAATTTGTAGTAAATACATTTAAAATATTCATCGGTATGAAAATTTGCCGTTCGGCTGAGTGGCTAACACAGGTTCAAATCATCATAGCTGCGAAAAACATTTTTACAAAGTTTAAGTTTTGCATCAAGTGAAGAGAATAAATTAACATCTGTCAAATTAATCGTCTTAAATAGTTAACTCTATTCGTGATGTATGAACAGGTTCGCTTTGATACAACCCTGAGCCGAACCACGGTTCTTCCCCGGTCGAGCCTATCCATTGGGGCATCGCCTTATGACGTTATATAGCACATGGCCCTACCACAGTAGAAGTACGTCTAAAGCCCGATTTGCACTGGCCAAGTGTTTAGAACAGTAGACAAATACAGTGTAATAAGTATACTAGTATAAACCGTCGGACAGTGGTGACAGCCAAGTTCACTCGCAACTTGTCCGACCGTTTACACTACGTTACTTACTCACTTTACTCGTCTACTCTACTATACACTTGGCCAGTGTGAATCGGGCTTAGAGGAGAAACACCGCTCGTATTGAGTGTTCCTACAACGCGGCAGCGAACGCGTCATCCGAAGGCTCCCGCGCCTCCGAGGTGGGGGGGGAGGCGGCGGCGCCGCGCGGCTCCACCCTGCCCAGGGCTGCCACCTCGCCGGCGCCCAAGTTCTCGCCCGACGCCTCGCCCAGCTCTTCGATCACCAGCGAGGGCGCGCCGTAAGTGTACCGCTTGGGATAACCCTATATTTCTTTTCGTGTGGGGAAAAATCCTTAACGGATACCCTTGCCACTGGCGTGGGTATGTGGGTACCCACTAAAAACCCACGTTTCACCTGTCTCTGTCCCATTGTCGGGGACACGGGAACACGTGGACGCAATCTTCCGCGACCCCGGGGCACAACCCTGACGCTGTGACGGAAGACTTAAATTATTAATTATATATTGAAAAGATAAGCAACGTATTAAAGGTTAGTAGTATATATTGACAGTTAGTTTTATAAGTTTACGAAATAATTTCAATATATTACTTTCACATTCGATGGACGTTTGACTTGTCAAATCATTCGCGTCGTGTAGTAGATACTGTTAGATTTGATTCTGTATTGAGAGCTATAGTTTGTACTCTACAGATACCAAACGCAGGCGGCCTCCAACAACATGTCCGAAGCGGCGTTCTCCATAAAGCCGATACTGAACGAGCTGCGAGAACGCAGGGAGGACTACGAGCGTCTCGCCGAAAAGATTGACGCGTTGAAAGTCAGTTTTATTTTCGCCTTCACCTTTTTATTGATTCTGGCTTGAGAAACGTTCGAAATGCGAAGTATCGTATAGTATAAAAATTATGTGACAGGTTTCAATATTAACAAATTTTTCATTTGAAAATAATTAAAAAGCATTTGGAAATAAAATAATAAATGATAATTTAGACCTTTGTTGTTATTGAAGCAACAGATGTTAACGGTTAAATTAGAAAAAGTACACTAAGCTATGATCAGCAGCGGTCACCATCACCGGCATGCCTGGAAAGCGCAACTGAAATGTATTTAATAATGTAATTCATATAAAAATAAAAAAATAAGTTCTTATATATTTTGATGGAGTCAAAAGTGAGTATTGACCGAGTTTTTTGGTAATTTCCAGAACCTTTCGCAAGAGGTGTCGTTCTTGTCGGCGGCACTCCAAGAAGAGCGTTTCAAAACGGAACGATTGGAGGAGCAAATCAATGATCTCACGGAATTGCATCAGAACGAGGTATTCCTTCTTATTCGCTCCTCTCTCGAACTCTTGACAGAGCAAAAGATATTATCAACTCATGAATCTGCAGAGTCGAAGACCACCTACAAAAACCTATTAAGTTGAGTGATTTTTTAGTATCACACACTGTCATTTCCCTTTTTTAATTACATTGGTAATTTGTGAAGTCATGTATATGTATTATTATCTTGTTATATCTTACGATACCATTATCGTATTGTCTTCCTTGGATCTTAATGTATGACGACGTAATAACATATGTCTCGCTCGATTTCTAAATTTCAGGTGGAAAATTTGAAACAAGCACTAACCGACGTGGAAGAGAAAGTGCAATATCAAAGCGAAGAGAGAATACGCGACATACACGAGGCTCTCGATCTTTGTCAAACAAAAGTAAGCCATTGCTCTGAACTGTAACAAAAAATGTACATGAACTATGGTAATAAAATAGGGTACACTTACGGTACAGCATAAGAATTGATTATGTCTCGACTTTTTATTTTCTTTTTTTTCATATGAAAAGTTGCCTAGCGAGCTATCGGCTCACCTGACGTTAAGTCGAGCGCCGCCTGTGGATATCAATACCTTTCAGGGTTTCAGAAGCGTTGCCAACCAAATGGGCCATCTCGCTCTACAGACGAAACGCGAAAGAATATAGGTACTTCCACGCATGAGTCTGCCCATTTCAGCAACAACAGAAGCCGCCGTAAGGCCCAACCCATTTACAGGTTCTAGTTTCTTCTCCGCCTACTTTTTATCACTAGTCGCAGCGTCAGAAAGGGCGCCTCGATTATGTATTTTATAGCAAGTTATCAATATAACTTGACATTTATTGATATAACGATTGAAGCGCATTCACTGCAGCTACATCCCTCACTACGAGGGGGTTAGCCGATCGCGGTTTTAAAACTTGCACCTAGTGCAATCTTAACGGGACATTGAGGTCTCGACAGTACGGTCCCTTGCAATAACAGTACCGCATGCAATAACAGTACCGCATGCAATAACAGGTCCCTTGCAACAACAGGTCGTTTGCAACAACGGTACCGTTACATAACACACACGTTTTCAGATCGGCAAGCTGGAGCAGTGGGCGGCGGGGGGAGGGGGCGGCGCCGGAGGTGGAGGGGGGGCGGGTGACGCCGGCGGGGCGGCCGCTCTGCCCCCCCGCCTCCTCCTCGTGAAGCTCCTCAACGTGGCGTTGACTCTACTACAGCTGGTGCTGCTGCTGGTCGCCACAGTCGCCGGGGTGACCATGCCCTTCCTACGCACCAGGTACTGTCACTACATAGTATCAAGCAAATTCGTCCCGCTGTCTGTCTTATGTATGCTTAGATCTTTAAAACTACGCAACGGATCTTGATGCGGATTTTTTTTTAATAGATAGAGTGATTCGAGAGGTTGGTTTGTATGAATAATACATTGCACCAGTGCGAAGCCGGGGCGGGTCACTAGTATGTTATATAATCTACCCGATTGGCGAATGGCTAGTGAACCTGCCACTTGCGCGAGATGGAGCGACTTCGATTGACACTACTGGAAAAAAATTGTGCGATGACCATAATGTTTTTTCAAGTATCTGGGTGTTTATATATTTTTAATATATGTTTTATTACAAAAGAAATGTATGTTTATCACTTATGTAGTACCCATAGTGCATATTGTGTAAAAATGTGTTCCAACAATATTTATTTATTTATTCATAATCTAATATCTCCCATTTCGAATTGCATACGCTGCCACTTAGTAATTATTGTATAATCAAGCAACAAATTGCTAACTAAACAACTTAATCGTTTTGTAAAAAAAATTCTTGATGGGAAAAAAACCTAGTAAATAGATCCTAACAAAAAAGGTACTTGGAGCTTGCTTGCCAATTTTTCTTCACATAACAAAAATAAAAATCAGTTTCTCTTTACCAACAGGGTCCGAGTGTTGACAACGAGTTTAGCAGTGTTGGTTGGTGTGATGGTGTTGAAACAGTGGCCCGAAGTAACGCAGCTCTCGGACCATTTGGTTTGGCGGCTCAAAGAGTACCTTCTCGAGAAGCACCACGACAGGTAATGCGAGGGGCGCTGCCTATCCGCTTTGTTAATGGAGGGGTGACGATTGGTTTCGTATAGCGGGCATGCACTCCAACTCAAGCTTCTGTATAAATAACAACTAACAAATTATCTTATAAATTAACAATTATTTATATGATATAGCAATGGTGGTATCGCATTATTTTTGTGTGGATAGGTAAAACTTAGCGATAAAATGTAGTCCTTCTATATTATTTCCCTAACCAACTAAGTTTAACTTGTATCTGGCACAATTGTTAATAGCGAAACATCATTTACAATAAAAACGAATTAACTCATATTATTTGCTGTTTCGTCGCAATATTTGTACGCAATTTGAAAGTCAATTCCCCTCCATTAAGGTTATGTTAACTGTGACGATCCCTCATAGCAAATGATATAATATTTTAGTTGAACTAGTAACATGTAATGAAAATTTATTGAAATAAAAACTAACTAACAACTTCTCTATATTGATATTTAAAGGTATCGATTTCAAATTTGTGGAATAAGTTCACAATTTCCTATTTGTTCGAAACATAAAATCATCCTTTTTTCACAAAATTCTGTGTGTGCATGTGTGGCTGTAAAAATTTTATACTCAAATTTTTGTCCTTTTTCAATGAATAGATTTTGTAACGTTTTTGTAAAGAAAATCACATAAAATTATTCTCTATATTAAACAAAAGATGCCTTTAATATCATATACGACGTGTGACGAGTCAAATACACAATTTCAAAGAGAACTAACAAATATATTACTAAACAAAGTATACTTGACGCTTTCTTATGTAAATTATTGTATAATGTATGTATTTTAACACATAATTTTCATATCAATCTATGCTATGTATAACTGAATACACAATGATAACATATTGTATAATATTTGTAACAAATACTTGTATGTATGTATAGCTAATTTAAAATAAGTTGCTAACAAAAATTTTAAAGTTTATATATGTACAAATTTTATGAATATTGTTTAAATGCATTGAAAAGCTTGCAAATTTATCTCTTACTTATATATTTCAATAAAAACATCCAATTATTTTATCAATTCGGGCGTTCATTTTTACTTTTAATTTTGTTTGTAAAAAAACTAGCTTTTTTCCTTTTAAGTATGGCTGATATGGGTATGGAGTTTTCTTTTAAGGAGACAGGTTGTCTTTTTTTCTTTTTAATTTTATTTTATTTTTTACTGCAGGTATGAATGCAAGTCGTTGTGTGGTTGACTAGGCTGTACGAGCGTTTATAGTGAACATTTCCGTGATATTGTAATTGTACCTTTGGAGTGAAAATATTTTATTTTTCTTCTGTCAAAGACAGTACATCCATTATCAGCGTCCATTCGCCATCCCGTACAACTGATTTTGCAGTCTGCAAAAGCTATTGTAGGAAGAGTAGCGATTCCTTTAATTTTTTTTTATCATATATCATAATCAAGAACAAAATTCCACATTAACCTCGTTATTTTAAATCTTTCATCTAAATTCTGTATTTGAACATTGTAAATGGAACCACAATTATTAGTTTATTTTCAATTATAATTATATAAAATTGTTTGAGAATTTGTTCGTGGAAGTTTCCATGGTTTTATCCAAGTGAAAGTCACCTGTGAAGGTTTGATGAGTTTTGTGTAAAGACAGACTTGAGGTTGAAAGATTATGCCAAGTTATGTTTCAGCTCTTGCTTTTGGGATGAGTTTTATTATGATTCGTTTAAAAATAAAACTTTTCATTACATTTAAAACCAGTTAGAAAGTTTAGAAGTTATGAATGTTATTTATTTCTTCTGTTTCTAAAAATTGTTTTTGGTGAAGAGTACAAATTACTGATAATTTATTTTTGTTAAATACAAATCACTTTACCACTGAGAATTTTATCTGAACTACTGATTCCAAGATTAAGTAGTATAAAAAATTCTAATTCTAGCGACAATGAATTATAAGACAGACGAGCTGTCTTATTATATTATTTTGTGAATCGTTTTAGACTTTAGTAAAACAGGATAAGGAAAACTACACTGTAAGTTTTGAATTCATTTAAATTATTTTAAATTCTCTGTTGCATAGAAAGTATTGAAACGAAAAACAAATTAGTGCTTCACTCTTGAAATTTCCGCCTTTCGGAATAGATTAATTTGTCACTTCATATTTCAATTTAATCAAAAGTATTGTTTCTGCAGTATCTTGTATCAATCTTTTAGTATTTTATGCGAAGTTTGTTGTTCGTTAGTAATCGCATAGTAATGTCATCCTCACAAATGTCTCGCATTGTTTGGATATGTACCTACATTATTTATTTTAAACATTAAAGTACATGACCTTGAAAGTAGTTACAAAAATGAGGAATAAACGCTTTAAACATAATTTCTTTAAGATCAATGTGTCGATTTGTATACAACATTTCTTCATTCAAATATTCAACGTATACAATGATGTATTTTTGATGATTTCACGAAATATGTCTATTGTTCTCTCTGTTTTTCACTTAATGCTAACTAGGTTACATAGCGGAAAATCGAGAATAAAAAATCGCTTACTAGAACATAAAATTAAATGTTGTTCCGATTGTAATCACATAATATTTGATGAATGGCGTCTTTTTATCCAGCCCGTAAAAATTATTATAATGACCCTTAATGATTCAGACGATCGAAATACAAATTAGATATTAGTTTATATACCATATTATTATTATAGTTATGTTGCTGTGTTTACATTTATAATGAGAAGACATTCCAAAATTTTTTGTCAGAGTTTGATCACAAATGTTATAAATATTTCACGCTATCAGTGCTTGAAACGAAACTTAAGTAACTTGGAAGTACTAACAGAGTAAAATACGTTTTGAATTATTAAAAAAAATGTTTTGTATTGTATATTTTGTACATATTTCTTGATTATATTGAAGGCATTATTTGCACTATTATGCTGTAAGTAATTCTCAGCAATAACTTGATAAACATTAAGAAAAACTTAACTATATCGATCGCGCAACGAACTGAAGGATCTGTGAACATTTGTCTCCATACATTCGCGTTGTTTACGCGAAACACAGCGCTTAGCGTTCATGTGGTAAAATGTAGTTTGTTTTTTTTTTATTTTTATTTTTATCGATGCATGTGTGAAGCAACCATGTTATCTTCGGTGTAAGTTGGGTTTAAATGCCTTATGTGAAATTCTTTAGTGATTTGCAAATTATCATATTCTTTAGATTTCGTAAGTCGTTAAAAGTATTTGTAAATGACAATTTATGTTTTGATTTAATGATTAAATGTTGATGATGAATGTGATGTGTCCAATATGTATGCGCTTTTTGTTACTTACCGATTATAAAGGGATACTTACGTACTCAATTTAATACGGATTTGTGATTTAATTTTATTTAAAAAAGGTCTCCCATCGAATTTCTAGTAATTTGGATGAGTTTGTAAGTTTTATTTTGTTGCCGGATATGGATTGAATTAAATCATCACAATTTTATTAATTTTTGTGTTTTATTTCCATGCAAAACCACAAAGCTCTCTGTCTAGTTATGTAACAAAAATACTTAATCTAAGAATAAAACCAGAACTGTAACATACATAACATTGAGTTTTAATAAATTAAAATATATAAAAGTAAGAAAATCCCTTATTTTTTAATCAATTCTACGTGCATTGCTTAATTTTTAAAACGGACTACGTTAAAAGGAAATGCACGACATAAAATTATCTAAAAGTGAAAAAAAAAACCTTTTTAAATCAAAGATGCAAAAATGTTGAAACGGTTATACACACATTTAATATGTTCTTCAACATACCATTACAAAAAAAAAACGTGGATTTTAGAACTAACATCTCCATCTCCATGCTTATATAAAATTATCGCGAATTCCTATATACAAACGTTAAACAGTAAATATCACGCCCGTTATTCTCCTTTCGCGTCGTTCGTCGATTGGACGGGAGCGGACCTCAGTACGGGTGACAATTTCTCCGGTTTGGGTGGCAGGGCCGGCTTCTCCGCGATCGTCGATCCAATGCCCGAGTCGTCCAGGCCTTCGGAACTCTGCTCGGGTGTCTGTTCGTTCTCCGCTTCGGACTCTATCGAATTGTTCAGCGAATCCGCTGGTTCTATGCCCTCAATCCTAAAACGCGTCATCAATAGTTGACGTTCACAGGGCAAATAAGTACATAGGTTCACAGCGTGCAATCGTAAATATCTCATTTCAAGTGTGACAGAATATTTTCTTATTCAAATGTTACAATGTTTACTGACGGGATGAATATTAATAATTTTCATTAAAAACAAATCTAAGTTATGTATCAATAAATTAATAGCATTGCATTTTTATGTAATTTGCTTTAATTTTTTATGACAGTTGCGCGATTCACGGCCTCCTTTGTTTGACGCGACCGTAAGTATAATAATTGTACCATGATGGTGTACGAATGTTGGTCGTAACAAAAACCTTTTGCTGTCCAATTTTTAATAGAAAGTTAATTCAACAAAACACGTATAAAAGAAAATTTCGATGAAGCTGGCTGGAAAGAGGCAGACAGTTCTTCTAAACCAAGAAGACGTACACAACCAAGTAAAAAGTTTAAACGAGGAAGTTTAAAACTAGTTATATAACACACATATATATCAAGGAAACCATGACAAGATTAGGGTATGGAAAAATGCTGTTTATTAAATAGAATTGAATAAAAATGTATATAGTACCTTCTTATCCTAGGTCCCATATTGTGATGCTGGAAGTAAGCTGTTATACAAAAATGGATGCACACAATTCACCAACACGAAATAAGCACCATAGCCTTGTAATATACAGAAGTGAGAAACATTGCCACAGATTTGCGTACCTGTATACGATATTAACTCAAAAGTTAAAAGGTGGATTAAAAAGCAACATGTTGTCAATTCCAATTTATTATTAGGCTTACAAATTATTCAAATCATAAATGACAGCATATTGAAATGTATATGTAATATAGTTGAATAAACAGTTCCTTTCCCCGCTTGCTGTGTACCATGATGGGGAAAACACTGTTTGACAATAATTGTTAATTGATTCCTCCATTAAAAAAACAACTAAATTTATAAAAAAATAACTATAAAACCTTAAAATGTCTAAAAAATAATAAAAATTTACATTAAAAATAATATGGTGTGTAAAATAAATCGTTGTATCCCATAGGAATGTCATATTTGATAAAATGCTTTACAAAAATATGTCACAGTGGACTAACTTAAATAACACAAGTAATATACATTTATAGAAGTAAGCAATATGAATATATAAACCTAATATAAAAATTGAAATGCCAATAGGGAATGCTATATTGTGAGGAATGTTGAATAGCATACAAGTTTGTCATAGCGTTTATAAATGAACCAGATTTTATTAAGGATATTTCGATACTAAAAATCATAATTATTTTTATCATTGATTTGCTTCAGATTGATTATTCAACTGAGTAAAAATTATTCAAAACTGAATTCGCTACAAAATTCGTTGTTCAAAATACAAGTCTCATTAGTTTAAACAAATCCCAATTTGACGAAACGGCAAAAAATGAGAACATAAACTACAAACTGGAAGCCAAAAATGACTAAACTCGGAAAAAACTTTCGAATGTTTCCGAATGAAAGCGTAGGAAACTAAAGTCTAGAGAAGCTTAAACTATAAAATATGTCTTAATTTCACATCGAACCATTTAGGTTCCTTATAAAAAATGTATAAAAACATTGCCGTGTCAATAATACTAAGTCGATAAGTACTAAATGCGTTAACTTCTCAACTGACTGCTGACAGAATTATAGGCTCGGAGCCTTGTCTTGTATATTATAATAAGTTACCCTTAACTATACATAGGTTATTAGTTACTTAGACGTTACAAGTATTATAATATTCCCACCTGCTTCGACAAACACTCGGGACGTCACAAGACAAACGATTCCTTCACCGGACCTCAGTGTAAACAGTAGCATCATTTTGCATTAATTTTGTATACGACATGGCTAACTAATGTAACATAAACAATGGACAGAGCCTTGCGGATTATCTTGTACGTATGGACTTTATCCAATTTCATGCTATTTGCACTAACCTACATTTTAATGGCGTTTTTAGATAGATAGATGCAATCACTAACTAAAAATATTAACTATCTGAATTAGTCTGCTAAGAAGTAAACGAACCCTACTGTAAATAAATCTTCCTGGACAAATGGACGTCTCTGAACTATTCAACATCTACAAAATATTTTTCTTTTTTACATGAAATAATATTACTCTATATTGTATTGGAAGCAATTTAGGTACAAAGTAATTTGAAACTTCACAGAAAAATTTCGGAAATGGCAGAATAGCTGAAATAAGATTTTAGCGGAGGGTTCTTTTTATAATAGAGAAAAAAATGTGCTGGGTTTTAGGGGCGCAATGAGTGCCATGAAAATGTCGATAACATTCTTTGTTAGTTTTTGATATAGGTTTCGCTACTAAAGTAATTATAGAAATTTGTCTCGATCAAATCGACACATCGATAAAATTAAAGGTAAGAAATACGATAGACGTCGCCATATTCAAATGTACCGTCAATTTTATCGATACCACCATTCGACATCGTTACACCCCTAAACATTCTGTTTACACTGTGCCCATCACCTGCTTATGCTATGGTATATATTTATATATAGGAAAGGTGCTGATACTTTAGGATGTACAACATTCAGATTAGGTACATAGTTATTCCTCATATGGAAGTTTTGTAATCGATTTCCTTGTACCAATAGGTGGGTTTATTAATAAAAGTACGCTATTTTAGTGACTCAAGATGCAAAATACAACAAAGTCCAATAGTACATTGGTTGATATGATATTTGTTTCGAATTGTTATGTAAAAATTATGTTTTCTTTAGTTCATTCAAAATTGTTGGTGAAGCTTCTTTGTTTAAAGATACCAAGTCACTAAAATAGTTCGTAACATACAATTTCCTAGGCCTGCATAAAAACCCGAGTACAATTATCCCAAGCCGTTTCGCATAACATTCCAATCTTTTACGCTCCCGTTTCAATTGAATTTTATCGCATACATTTCTCAATTAATTACAAAATTTATGTTGAAATTAATTTCTAATCATATCAGAAAATAGTTTACTGCAATTGCAATGTAACCAACATTGTCAAGTGAATTTCCAGGGCTTGTAGAATGTTCAATGAAATCGTCTAACAAGTTTACCTCTGTTCGATGGCTAAAAAATTCAAGTTGATAACACGATTATCGATCGAGACTTCTATATAAAAAAAGGTGATTAGTTCTCGATTAGCGCCGCTAGATGGCGGTAGATGCGACAAAGACCAATGTCGCATTAAAAAAGGGTATACTCAATATCTCACTGGCGCCACTAGATGGCGATGTATGCGATAGAGTCCAACCGAAGGCGGGTCGCACTTACTTAGCGACGGGCGCGTCCATGGTCGGGATGTAGTCGAGGGCCATTAGGCAGGCGAACACGGTCATGATCATCTTCGGCTTCCGCTCGGTGATGTCCTCGGGCAGCGCGTACACTCGGCCGCCGCAGCGGCGCGCCATTGAGATCGCGTACTTCGCGTTCGCCAGGTTCTCCTGGAGTTGCGACAGTTATGGACAGTGATTTATTTGTGTTTACACGAACATTTATTTCGTATACTTCAAGCATAAAAAAAATTAAAGTAGGTGGATGCAATGGCATTCCTGGGGTGATACAGAGAAGTTGATTATAAAATTTAAAAAAGTTCTTATATTTGAGCAACATGTCTACACCATACATACAATCTGTATCGTTCAAACAGACAATCTATCCTGTGTCATATTGGTAGGGTGTTCGAAACGCCGAAATGAAACCAAAGCTAAACGCGAAAAGCGAATATTAAACGCGTAAAATAAAGAAAATTGTATTGCTAAACAAAAGAATAATGAAGTTATATGTTTAATAATTTATGTTAATATGTAATTAAAGAAGGGATTCGTTTCCTTCCGCAGGACATGTTTTTTAAAAGAGTATGTACTTGTTGACTATGTGCTAAAATTAATACGAAGTATATAATCGTATTTAACAGAGATTTAGAATGAAAAATATATGCACCACAAAATCTACCAATTTTATTTGTAAGCATGGAGAAAAAATATTAGAATTGTCTGTATATCCTTTAATCTTTTTTAGTCATCAAATGACATGGTGAATCTGTTGTCAACAATACTGATTTTTCAAGTTGGATTCATGGCGAAGCCGAGGCGGATCGCTAGTTTCGTATAAAACCATCTTTCATTCATTTCATATATGATTATCATTAATCGATCAACTTTGGCTTGTGTGCACAACCAAAAAAGATATCTCACCTCCTCATTGCCACCAGGCAGCACCAAATCGTAGTTTATGGAGCCCGGCTTAATTGCGTCGATCAGGTCAATCACCACCTTACCGTCCGCTAGAACTTCGTCCTGAAAACGTTACCATAACCGTCGGCTAAAAGATAATATGCACAATTAAATTTGTAAGTACAATATATATTTTTGGGCTTAGTGTTATTATAGTATCTGTAATATTCTTATTATAGGTCTGCTAAATACAATAAATAATGCAGGAATGCTGTCAGTTACATGGTATAACAAAAAAAAAATATTACATTGAAAATATATTATAAAAATATATTACATTGAAACACAAACCTTGCAAACAATTTGAAATAAAACCGCACCATCACTTGTAATTAAGGCCACATTACTAAAAGGCTTTCTTTCTATTTAAGCCCTCCTTGCTGTGCTTTTTGGTTACAGGTGGGTGGTATAACTGCAAATAACCTACCTGGAAGCTCTTGATGGAAGAAGTCTTGCCGGCCGATTGCAATTTGTTGTTGACCCACTGCACAATCTCTTTCTCTATGATCGGGTTGCCAGTGTTAGCGAGCCGTGTGAGCACGGATAGGGTGTACGCGCGCATAAGTTGCCAGATAAGAGCTGAAGACAGAAAATAATATTATTAATGAAAAAAAAAATAAACATTACTTCAAAAAAAACAACATTTCTTCATAAAACAGTGTACTCAACCAAAATTTGTTAATAGAAAAAATTTTTAACTACAATTTTACTGTATAAACAATTACGATATAATACTTAAGCGAAATATAACTGCATAATAATTAAAACAACTAGCTTTGTACATATTAAATCTAACAAAGAATTTAAATTTTGTAGAAAAAAAAGGACGAAAAGTTTTTCTCCGCCGCGGGAATTGGACACGTGTCTTCCGACATAAATTACAGTATAAATAATAAATTAAAGGTATATTTAAACTAAATGTTACAAGTAAATGAATATAACAGTGAAATAATGCATTTATCAGTTAGTCAGAAGCAGTATAATCAATTATTAATATTATTTTGTGGAGTTTTGCAAAGTTTGGTTAGCTATGTAATTAAAAAGTTACCAATGAAGTCAATAAATTTAAAAAAGACTGAAGTAGATAAATTTATTTTGGAAATAAATAATGAATTAATAATATATAAACACTATTATAATTCCTAGTTTGTGTTTTACTTAATATTCATTTTCATTCAAGACCTAAATTCTCCAAACAAGCCATTAAAGGCTTTAAGATTATAATACCACTGCTAAATGTATACTAGTAATACTACAAAGCTATCAATGAAATAATAAATAGAAATCAGAAAATAAACATTAGCAAGTGCGTTTTGGAGTGGAGACCCTGGCTAGGCAGGAGAAGTGTGGGCAGACCAGCAGCCTGTTGGTCCGATGACATTAAGGAGACAGGGGGTCAAGTCTGGACGAGGGAAACGAAGAGTCGGATTGAATGGAGGAAAATTGGAGAGGCGTATGCCCAACGGTGGGCGAACGCACGCTGAACAAGAAGATATTATAAATATAATAATATCAGCGTTAAAGCTCACTCACCCAGGGTCAAAGTGGCGTTGCCTTCGTTGATATCGGCGCCTGCTATTCCCACCAGAGAGAAGCCGAGCTGCCTTCCCAGCTCCACTGCGTAGTTGCAGTTCTCCAGCCGCTCCATGAACTTGCGAAGCTTCGAGAACTGCCTGTGCACCTGCGGTTTGCATGAAAATAGATGTAAAAAGAATGTGAATATTTCCATTGGAATGTTATAGACTCAACTATAGGCACTTAAATCAACTTTCTAAGTAATGACAAATGGGTGCTTTAATATGTAGTGTTGAGGATAATAGAACACAGTGTCAGTTATAGTACCTATGGGTATATTTTGAATGTCACGTTTCTGCTACTCACATAAATTCTTCTCTAAGTATTTCGTTTACCCAAATACTATACACGGTGAAATGAAACTATTTGACCATTTAACGCGTTTCATTTTAATTTTAAATTCCCGACAGCGTTCATGGTGATGGGAAAGATTGTTATTTTATTGTTTCATTGTTTGTTAAGTGACTCAATTTAAGTAGGTTGCAAAAATCGAATTAGATAGAATGGTGGTGCATGAAAGCTCAAAAACGTATATCACCTTCTTCCAATTGACGATGCCCGGTTTGATGATATCGTAAAGCTGGAAGATGACGAGGCCGTCGGTGAGGTCCGAGTAGAGCCAGTTGACGTGCGGCGCCACGCCCATCGAGTTCATCCAGTTGCGGTACGCTAAGGGACAGAATGAGACAGATATAGCAAAATAAACAAACAGAAATTTGTCATCAATACATATTGTTTAAATTAAACACTGGTATTCGGAAAATTCTTTAAAATTTTGGCCAAAACAATTTTTATTCAGATATAAAAAACGCCCTTACAACACATGATAGTGTTATCGTGGGCAATGTTTTCGAACTAGACTACTAAAGATCTTCCTTCCAGGTTGCGACCTGGTCGTAGTGGCCGTTGGGACTTTCACTTTCTTATGGTGAGCGAGCCTCCTGCTCATTTGCCCCCTTTTTACCGCCGCATTGGCGTCACGGCCACTCACTTTTCTCCTCCCTGGTCTCGTCGAGCTGGTGGTACTGCTCGGTGTCGGCGGTGCGGCTGAGACCCGGGTGCTGGTTGAAGAGGTTCGCCACAAAGGCCAGGTTGAGCTTGTACACGCCGCCCACCACGTCGGCCGGCGTCACGAACGCCCTGCAGCGGAGGCGCGCCGCCTGCTGCAGCATCACCTCGGCGCGCCGCAACAGGTCCGTCTCCTGCCGGCAGATGGTGCTGTTATAAACTGGAGCAACATATCTGATGGAAGTGCTGTTAAGTTACAAGGCAGTGATGGACGTGTCACCACATTACCATTCTTATTGAAGCACTATGTGACATAACAGCCGCTATCATTTTGTACCTTTCCTTAAGGTTATATTTCTTTTAGAAGAAGGTCGCGTTGCCTAATTTTAAAGAGTGTATCACCCTCACTCATCACACTTATGCAACAGCGTAAATAGTTCCACCAATTGGCAGTCTTCTGTTACGCCGCGATACATTCCCGAACGAGCCCTATCTTGATTCCCATACCTTAAGGAACTCGCTAGAGATCAGATAGGTATTGGCCACTTAAGAGCAGGTTGTACTACTTAATTTTTTGTATTGCTTCACTGCTCACTTGTCTGCACTTCAGACATAACATTAATATTTGTAGAAAAAATGAGCCGTGCATTAGATTCCCGCAGCGGCGAAATACTTTTCGTCAATGTTTAAGATACTATTTATCCGAAGCGACTATCGGAAGCCGTTAAGGCTGTCGCGGCCGCCGAGAGCCGTCAAGGCTGTCGCGACGGGTTCGTCGCACTGACCCTGAGCGCGTCGAGCGTGACGCCCGCGTCGTCGGGCGCGATCTGCTTGAGCAGGTACGAGTAGATCTCCGAGTCGGCGACGTCCTGCTGGAAGTTGGTGCAGCGGCGCGTCACTCCAGCGCTCTGCAGCTGGTGGTTCACCCAGCGCAGCAGGATGGCCTCCGGCGACAGCGCCAGCAGGTCCTCGATGCGCTCCTGCAGAGCGTAATATGGGTTAGATACAGCAGAGAAGTAGTTGTTTGTTTGTTTTGGGCTTTGTCTATGGGTTCTGAAAACTATGGACAGCGTTAGAAAAAAAAATCACATACAGATATTATTAATGTTAGGTTTTTCTTCATATCGTTCAAGTTTATGAAATCTTAGACCTTTTTGCAAAATAACTTCTTTATTTAATAAACTATTTTTACTGATTTATCTGGTTAGGTTGCACTTTAATTCCCGAAGTTTTGATTACTTACTTGCATTAGATGTCTGAATGTCATTGTTAACACCGATTACATTAAAATTATTAACTCTGTGTTTGATCTATTTCAGGGATTAATTAAGATATCTTTTTTTTTATGGAATATAGGCGACAAGCCCAATATAAATAAACTTATACTTGATTTAATCATGTGTAGCATTTGCGTAAATTTTAAGAAAATGTAAATAATATAATTGGTACTAAAAGTGTCTGCTTCTACCCCCGGTGTCTGTTATTGATTTATTTTAACTATTCATTACAATGAGTGAAATGAAAAGAATATTGTTTACCTGGTCATTGAGCAGTTCAGTGAGACCCGGACAGTGCTCGAGAGTTATCTGGTTGAATAGACCGATGCGGATGATCTGCCACAGGAGACCAAGTACCAAATGCGGTTTGCCTGCAAAAGTAATTATTGTGTTGAACTCCAACTTGTCGAACTTGTCTCTATAGCTAGAAGATCTCTACAACTGGGAAAATGTTGTGTGAATAACACAGTGCTTTTCTATTGACTGATAAAAATGTTTTTGTAAAATCACATGATATTATTAACAGCAAAAGCTTCCAAGTTGAAAGTGTTCTTTTTGAACATAGAAATGTCGATAAAAGTTTAGTAATCATCCTTATAGGTATATACATACATCATGTTTTATTTTATGCATCACAGTACAGATTGAAAACAGAGTATTTTCACATAAAATAAAAACTAAATAAAAAAAAAAAATTCGGACACATTTTTTACACAACGTTCTCTAGTCCCAAACTAAGCAACGCTTGTACTATGGGTACTAGAAAACTGATAAACATACTTACACATACTTTTCTTTTGTAAATAAATACATATTACACATATACCTACATACTTTATTTTTATGCAAAAGTATATTTACGAAAAATAAGGATACGTAATAATGGTTGCATTTGTTTACCCTTGGCGAGGTCGTGGGCGTCGATGTTGACGATGTTGCAGCCGATCGCCTGCGAGGAGACCAGCGCCAGGGTCAGGTTCTCGTGCTTCGTGTAGAGCGTGAGGTTCTTCTTGTTGATCGCCCGCTCGTCGATCGTGTCCGGGCACGAGTGGTTGATCACTTTGCTGGGGGAGAATACGGGCGGCCGTTAAATTAATGGAAAAATCTAGAACGCGCATTGTGTATTTTTTTATGATTGTTACGATTTCAGTTCCTGGGACTGTGCGAAATGCTTATGCATTTGCAGCATGTTTTGGTCTTGCTAAAATCCTAGATTGTTTAGATTATAGAACCCAATTCCGTTAGGCATTCGGTCGAGGCTTCGGACATATTGGTGTCCATGTGCTAGGTAATGATCAGATTACGAAGAGAATTAGTGTATTATAGTTCATCACGGGGTGATATTGCAGGTAGTCTTAGTTCAGATATCTTCGAAAGTTGGCTCATATAGGATAACTTTCATCGAATCTAGCGATTCGTCTTGTCTCACAGTGACCTTGTATAAAAAAACAGTACAAAATTGGTCAAACTTTACCATAGTATGAGGCCGTCTTTGAGTTTCTCGTAGAGCTGTTTCCCCTCCGCGTCTATTGGCAGCAGGTGCTTAAGATCGGGGTCATTCTCCAAATTGCTGTTGATCCAGCCTGAGAATGCCATCTGTTCCTCCAGTCTCACCGAGTGCGTGGTGCCTGTATTAGAAATAAACGCGTACGTTTAGAAAACCATCATATTTTAAATGACCTTACTCGGAGATTATAAATAGCGTTAACTGGTTAACATTGTGTCATTTAGATAGCTCTCTAACTAAATTGGATAATTTAAAGCCAGCAACTCACACAGTCTCGCTGGGCGTGCACGAATTAAAGCTTAATAATTTCTTGTATTTCCGGCGAAAACACAATGTTAACACAACACATTAATAAATGATACTATTTTTACGGATGATAAATCCGTAAAAATAGTATCATGTGTATTTCAAGCCGTGTATTTCAAATTTTAGTTTCGACGTTTCTAACCCCTTTCAGCGATCCTCGTCACGTGATAAATAAAAAAAAGTAATTTCATTCATTATTATAACGTAGTTCAACGTTTATTGATGTCATATAGGCGAGTTTAAGGTTTAAAAATGTGAATTTTTATAGTTTTAAAATCACCTTAACATCGTAATATCGAATTACAACCACCGTGTTTTACTGCCTTCGTTCATAGTCAATTACTAGCTAGCTGTTTTATTGTAAATCAAACAATATTATCCCTAATAGACCAATTACTTTTCACATTTAAGTTGTAATTTAATACATTACTCGTCATTATTCATAGTCAAGGCGCGCTCCAAGCAGAGACAAAACAGTGATCATAATTTTGTATTGCCCCTACTACTAGTTTACATCATAATTATATAGGTGGATCGGTCTAGTACTGCCTTTTACCTCTTGAATAATCCGTAACGAAGGTCGAACATAGGCCATTTCAATCCGGTGTAGAATAAAAGAAACTGAAGCCATAGAAACGGATAATTAGTGTAATAGGATCGTCTATAAATGGCTTTATGTGACGACATAACGATTGACTCAACAAGCGTGCGTGATGAGATTTCTTGAACCAATAAGACTCATTCGAGTTTTTCGTTTATTTTTTAAAGAGTTAAAATTTTAAAAGATCAGTTAGTGCTTAATTAGTCTCCCGCGCAAGGGAATAATCCCTGCATTAGGAGATATTACACAGACATGAAATTATGTAAACTAGTATATCCAGTGGAGAAAAGAATCTATCGAACATAACAAACTGGGTCTCGCGTCGGTGTTGAACTCGGAACGTGACAATGGCATTTAGCAACGGGATAACCAAACCACTGCACCGTCCGTAGAAATAATAACGAGAAAAATTTTCTTTTAGTTATATTATCACATCTTTTAACTTTTAACATGAAATAGCAGTTTACACTAATATTGAAATTAACGCACCTTAATCAAAATATATTTATTTATTTAAGCTTTATGCAGACAAGCAGATGTAATGCCAATGGCATTTACTACCAGTCAACCTTAGGGCGGTGTAGAGGAAGTGAGATAGGTGCACAAATATAACGTGTGGAACATCATAAAATACGTTATTAAAAAAATGAAAGTCTCCTCTTACCGTCACTGGAAGCCTCGCTCATGCCTCCCAAGTGTTCGAGGTTCTCTTTTTTACTGACAGCTTGTTTGAATGTGCTCGCCACCTGAAATAATAATAATAAATAATTAAAAATAAATATCATTATTATTATCTAATAAATATCAATTATAACTTATAACTACACAATTATTCATTCTTAATATTACAATAAAATTATACAATAAAGACCAAACGAGAGTCTGAATAACGTGGAAATTTGTTCGCAGAAAGAAAACTAATATATGATTTTCTAATAAAATCTAACTTATTTATTACAGTATATGCATGTATATAACATGTATAACAATTGTAGTTCAGCCCAAAAGAAAAATGAAGTCTAAAGTCAAGCCTATGATGCTAACTCCTTATAGCTGGCATTATTTATTCCTTAAAAAAAAACGCAGTTAACGAACCATTTTATGGTGTTCCTAAATTATATGTAATAGGAATATAACAAATATGGTAAGGACCGTTTTATACAATAAAAAATTGTATGGAGACTAAACTCGATTTTATATCCGTTATAAAGTATTCAAAATATACGTATACATATTCGTATTTCGTTATTACAATCCTAAAATATATACATCATGTCCCTCTTTCTCTTTTCCCGCCTAGTTGAGCGCGGCACATCGTGACAATCAGATGCCAGTTAGAGATATTGGCTAATTTTTCCCGACGGGCCGTGTGTCTGCTGCCATACCTTACTCCTTATACATACTCCTTGGGAGTAAACACACGAATTCGGAACATTGCAACTATCTGTAGGTCGCACAAATCCGCGATCTCCACAGATAAATAATCTGACCAGCTGTACCACCGAGTCATCCCACATCTGTTATAATTTGGGTGCAACTCTGAAATATTCTTAAATTCACAATAAAAACATTTAAAGAGGTCGACTATTGGTAAATTTCATAGTGTCAACTTTTGCCTATATTTTCTTTTTTTTCTTAAATTAGTTCATAACCGTGTATGTATTAGTTGATCGGCAATCGATGAATAATGAAATAATTCGCTAACCAAAGCAAAGAATGAGCACACCCGCATTGATACTATAACGTGTTACAAAAACATTAACGTATGCATAATTTCCTCAGACATAATATTGTATCGAGTTTCTATGTGCGTCATTAAGGCAAATATCACATTAAAGCGATTTCCATCCTCAGTGTTAATGTCATTTTACTTCACTTTCTTTTTAAATATATTTCCATGTCATTATAATAAATTGAATTTTTCGAAACCGAATAATTTATTGTCATAAAATAAGCTGTTCCTTCAAACTTTTACGGTTTTAAATCAAACTTTATTTCGTTCGATCATTCTTTTAACTAATATGTTCTTCATTTAACTAATATCTATTTTATGTATATCAAAAACATTTGACGCCGTAATCTTCGACTCGGAAACATAATTTATCGACTAATGTGTTATGTAACTATTTAAACACGCTTTTAAAAGTTCGCCTGTGTGTTACCAACAACGCAATAAATCTCTCATTAAATCTGACACTCTTTTCTTCTAGTTTATATCAAATATTGCCCTTATTGTAGGATAATATTATCCTGTGTTGTAAAAACGTTTTAAATCTTTATATATAATTCTTCTATATGTGTATATCACTGAACTCCGCCTAAACGGCTGGACCGATTTTAATGGCCCCCTGGCTGCTGCTGATTTTATACCTAAATAAGTGTGTATAATTGCATAAAAAAAAATATAACAAAAAGAACAAGAGCGCAGAGTTTCTTGCCGGTTCTTCTCTGTCCAGGTCTAGTTTAGTGAACCGGTGGTAGATTTTTTGTTGACGTTCAATAAGAGCTTAAGTTAGGCCTATATTGAATAAATATACTTTGACTTTGAAATGAAATTTTGTGTGTATCTTCAGGTCGATTCGAGAATAGTTTACATTCACAATTCGGTCCGCATTTCTTTTATTTATAAGTTGTATTCGGATTTCGGTTTACAGGACAACGTTTGTCGGGTACGCTAATATAATATAATAATAAATGTAATATATATAAATAAATTAAATCCTTTATATAAAAAACATAAATTTCATTTGGACAGACACCCGGATCCGAATCAATGATATGTCACACAAATAGTTGTCTTGTGTGGGAATCGAACCCTCGATCCCCAGCGTCGATTGCAATACCTTTGCAAATGCGCTACGGAGTCATCACATACTCAACACAAATCGAAATGGTCTATGTTCTATGTAAATGCGTGTTCCAAGAAAGAACAGATACAAAAGTGTTCATTTGAATTTAATTGAAATTAATCATGTCAGTCTGCATATGATTTAGTGAGATGCTATTACTTGACATTGGACAACGGATTATTAGCATAATGACGTTTAATGGGACGTGTTAGGCCATCGCATACGTCAATTGCAACGGGTTCAAACTTATTGACTCTGTGATTTTATCATCGTTGATGCGTCACGCGTGCAGTTGGAAGTAATTTCATCTGCGCTCAATAGAAGCATGGGACGTAAAAATTGTTAATCTTTACAATCGTTGTCTTTAGTCATATTATATACAGGCATTAGACGAATAAGAAAATCTATTAAATGATTGCGTTGTAGGAAAACAATTATCTAAATACTATCACCATCCCAAAAGGCTTCCTAAATTTAGTAAAACCACATTATATCATGCAGTATAAAACATATACACGATACTAATGCTGATAGCGTTTTAACTACCAAACTTACGCTCGGTTTCTGAGAGACTTCAACGTAGAAATGAACTAATCTGTTGTCAAATGGCTTGTTAAATGTCGTTCAAATAAACATATTCAAATTGATTTGAAATCAAAATGTTTAGCCATCCGTTCAACAGATTACTTAATTTCTACTATGATCAAAGTTTCAGAAACCGGGCGTTAGTATCACGTTATTCCAGTCGCTTTGTTATTCCGTAGACTTCTTAAAGGTCATACAGGTCAAACTACACGTTTCTCGGTTACCTGCTGCGCCTTCAGATTGGCGCAGAGCTCCTCGAATTCGGTCAGCGACATGCCGTTTCTGCGCGCGTCTCCGTTCACGCTGCCGTTGACGCCGCGGCCTTGTCTCGTCGATCCGTTGTCGTAGTACTCCTCTATCATGCAGCGAACCTGAGGATTTATTCGTTAATTTACACTTTGATGCTCTCTATCTTCTCTTTTCAATCAATCAAAAATATTTTTATTCAAATTATATTATATACAATTAAGCGAAACCGATCGACACAGCTCGTTGACCAATTAAATAAGAGTTACGATCGTTACGCCCGCATTATTCCCTGAGTCTTGTAACTAGTGTTTCCTTAGATATGGACACCGTAAACCCAAAATTTACATAATAATTGAGTTATGTTGTCCAAACAATTAAGCCCTTGACTTTTAGAAACAGCTTTTCAAACTTATAAGTTCCCCCATGGTTTTTAAATAGCAGCGGTATTGAGTTCAGGATTATTTGATTGAAACAACAAACCTTCCATTGTGGTATCTTGTATCCGACGCCGTCCAGAGCGTCCTTCAGCTCTTTGAGGTCGATGAAGCCGTTGCCGCTCGTGTCCAGCTGCAACGGACCAAAGGAAGCAATATTAATACACACGAGTGATTATTGCGAGATGTAAGACTGGCCGGCATGGAGTCGAAGAAAAAGAAAAAAAAAAACCGACCAAGTGCGAGTCGGAATCGAGCACGAAGGGTAAGTATCGTTATCTATGATAAACTAATTGTTAAGTACCTATAGGTTGCCTAGCAGTAGCAACCACCTCGCGTTTGTTGTATAGGACTCCCCTTATTATATTTTTTTATTTTATTAATTTTTTTAGTATTTATTTTGTAGCGGCAACTGAAATACATCTTCTGTGAAAATTCCAACTTTCTAGCTATCACGGTTCATGAGATACGGCCTGGTGACAGACGGACAGACATACAGACAGCGGAGTCTTAGTAATAGTCCCTAATAGTTTTACCATTTGGGTACGGAACCCTAAAGAAAACAAGATTGAAACGAAGACCCTCTTTGCGGTTAACGATTGCGCAGGAAACGTTTTGCTATGGGATGCGCGTATCGCGTTCGAATTCGGAAGTTATAATTTATTGACGTTAGATGGAAACCTACAAATTGCTCTATATCCGCGCAGTTGGTTATTAAGTTATTTAGTTAGTTGTTCAACGAGTAATGGACCGATTACAGCCAGATTGATTATCATTTTTTTTTAAATCGGTAAAGATATGAAAAGTCAATAAACACATTGTTGTTTTAAGCGTCAGAGTTTAGAAAAAACTTTTTAAGCAGAGTAGGCGTAAAGGACAGTGGGGATACATCCCACATCGCTGACGACTATTGTGTCCTAAGGCTAGCTCATCACTATGAGATATAATATATCCAGATATGAATAATATACCGATTGGCCTGAGAACAAAGACATAATTATGTTTCCGATAGGTGCATTTTTTGGGAATAACATAAATGCCTACAAAGTACAGCTCGCTTATCGGAAAGTTTATTGAGTTTGGTAAATAATATACTTTTTAACATTAAATAACATCTAAGCGAATGGAATCGTATATTTTATATCTCATAATGAAAACACCGCTTTATCATTACGAAATTATCATGCACGAATGGAATTCCAAGAATACGGCAATATAATAATCGAACATAACAGCGTGACTCACATTTTTATATCCAATCACAAATAATCAATTTATAAAACGAACATAACCTTGGTTATCATTAACAGTAGATTAACTAAATTTATAACAAAACTACACCGCCACGCGCTGCTGCGCTTTAAAATAAAAAAAAATCTTGTCATCAAATCAAATAATTTATTCATCCAAATAAGAAATGTACCATTTCATGAACCGATAGTTATTTTTTAAATCTACCACCGTTTCGTAATCGCAGATATTTTGATTTTTATACCTCCAGATTAATACGAACTTGGCCCGTCTTATTGTACCAAATAAAAATATCTGAACGAATTACTAATTAAGAAATTTTGTGGCGAAGAAAAAATTTGTACGCATAATTTTTTTCTCTCATAAGCGGTTCAACTATCATGAAGAGTTTTGTAATGTTAATAATTCTAATTCATATGCTCTTGCCATTACGTAATGAATGATAATGTTAACGAGAGTTATGTTGAGATTTTCCGGCAGCTTGAACTTGATAAAGGAATAGTGAATTAAGTTCACTTATCTATACTAATATTATATTCGTTAACGCCTCGTCTTCTATTAATTTTTTCTTTACAACAAGTCTAACATCTTAAGAGAGTTCAATTGCCCCTTATTGACCATCACAACAACTTTCCCATTGTTTTCAACCTGTTGTAAAATGAACTACTTACAAAGCATGACTACATAGTAAGAACACAGACGAGGCGTTAACTTCATATAATTTTGACCGAAGGTTACTTACAGGTAACTTACTTTGATCAATTAATTATAATGCAGAAGAGATTTTCTCGTTTTAACGCGCTAATAACTTGTATTACCAGTCAAATTTGAATAAATAATTTTCCGATTTTATGACCGATTCATTTATTATTTAATTAGTAATTTATTTTATTTATTTATTGAGGTAGGCTATTATTATTGACTTCTTATTATCGTCAACAAAATGATTTTTGGTTTATTTAGATAGATTTGTAGTTTATTTAGATATATAAATGTATATTACTTATTTGTATATTTCACTAAAATAAAAAGAAACAAATATTATCACATATTTTTTATATATACACAATACTTTTTATGTCCGTGTACAGAGGGTAATAGGGCACAGTCCACCACGCGAATCTGCTGCGGATTGGCGGACTCGAATCCGCTGCCGATTGGCGGACTTCACTTATCTTCGAAATATTTTTTTTTGTTATTATTTCGGGAAAAAATCAGGTTCCTCTCGATGTTTTTCTTCACCGCCGAGCGACTGAAATTAACATTTTCATGGCACCGGGGACTGAACTCGGGTCGCTCAAGTAAATTAAAAGTGAGCGACAAATATACGACAAAACCAATAGGTAACACAACGACTAATTCAAAAAGTAATAAGTCGTGTTCTTAGTGGACCAAATGACTGAGGGTGGAGTAAGCGTGTTCCGCCGCGAAACCGCTAGCTTTGACAATATACAATGATGTTATATAAAAATACGAGTTAGATATGACACTAGAGCACCCAAACTGAGGCACTCAAATTACAAGTAAGTGCAATTACAATACAATCGTACTCTCCTCATAAATCGTAACATACGTTCTATATTATATGTCACATTCACTTATATGTATATGTCATATAATGTAAAGCGGAACAATTTTAAAACGCCGCCGCGCAGTTTAGACATGCATGCGTCATCTTTATTAAAACATCATTGGAGCCTTGATATGCCTTTTTTGCGTCCAAGCAAAAGTACCCGGCCGCATGCTATTGTATAGGGGTTGCGAAAGGCCTGACTTTGTTTTCGTTTTACCGCCATCGTTTTCAATTAAACGTTGAAACAGTAATAATTGGCGCTTCGTGCAAATGTGAATTTTAAATTCAATGATGTTGTTACCGTACAGTTGTAAGACCGTTGTGTTTCTATTTGTCGAAAGTTTATGACATGCGTGTTGGTATAAATTTTCATATTGAATATTAACCCTGTTACATATAAACGAAAAAAAATAATTAAAAGAAAAATAATAATAATAAATGTGATTTATTGAACACTTAGTTACACATTTAATGGTGCCTTGACTCCGTAATATATCCTGAATTTCAGGAGCCAATACCATCCCCTAATTAACATACACTTTTGTGCCAATAAACATAAAATAAAAAGCTAATTAAGACAAAAGAAAATATGTGTGTGTGTGTGTGTGTGAAAATAAATATTATATTCATTCCTCAATTATTAATATAAGGTTTATTATGTTGTATAAACGAGGTGCTAGAAAATTATTACTGGTAATTAAAAACTTGCTACTGGTGATTTTAAAAAAATCCGGAAGACGTGGGATCGATTCCCCCAGCGGCCATTTTTTTCTACAACTTTAAACGGTTGTTAATGTTTAAGTTTTGTTTGGTTTGTTAATATGCTGTTGCTTTGTACTCTTACTCTTTCGGGCGCATTTATTGTCTCTGCAGCATATGACGTAACGCCAGCTGATTTAATGCGCGAAACGGAACAATGCAGGCTTTGAGGGCGGGCGCCATAGAGTGCAACTTGGCGACCGATCACGGCAGAGGCGGCCATAGATGGGCACGAATCGAGCCGAAAAGTATAACGTACTACTAGTTACGTAACGCTGCCGCGCGGTCTGTCGTAAATACAGTAAACGCGCGTCGAGAGCTTTTTCTGGGAGAGTGAATCTTACGCTTTCGAAACCAAGAGAAGTATCAAAGTTTTTTTTTTAAAAATATATATAGGTTACATCTTTAAAATAAAGTAGAAAACGTATTTAGTAACTAAAAAGGATCCAATTATATCTAATTAGTTGGAAATTTCGTAAAAAAAATAATTATTCGTTTAACACTGAATGCTATCAGTCTTTGACGATTCAGTGCCGCGCGAAGTACCTTGCATCTGTTAAAATCTTCATCTGCCTTGACGAATGTACTACGATTATTTTATTATAAGAACACAAACTAAATAAAAGACTGGTAAAATTTCACAATGAAAAAATTAAAAATTAGTTCTCATCTTTACATAGTATAAAACACAGGCCCTCCCGATGTTTGTACGCTTACATCTTTTAAAGTACACAACGGATTTTAATTTTTCAGTAACAGATAAGTGATTCAAGCGGAAGATTTATATGTATTATACGTGCATATTATATTAGAGGAAAGCGGAGAAATTCAATATTTATATTGCAACCGTGCGAAGTCTGGGCTGACGCTAATACTAGATAATATATTGTTTGATTAATAATGGAACAATTAATAATTGCATTTTAAATTACACAGTGAATAGGATCAGTACCTAAATTAGTAATTTAAATAGGTACTAACAAAAAGTAAAAAAACCATTAGTAAGCGTCAAAGCGTAACAAAATTATAATTAAACTCAGTAATTCTTGTATTTGCGTTAAAAAAAAATATTAATCCATAAAATTTTAATGTATTGTCAATGACAATTACAAGCTTATCAGTATCACAGGTTGTATCCACTTTTTTCTCACTGAAGGAGACAAGAAATAATAATAGAAATAAACAACAATTGTCGAATCAATCACAAATCCGAAACCAACCAAAATACCTGACACCAGCTCGTAATGGTCGGATAACGCAATGATTAACAGTGTTGTTGAAACCTCCAATGGGCCGTAGACGGATGTTGTGTTAAAAAAATTAATTGACCGACGATCGGAAACGATAACCTAAGAGTTATACGAGCAATTGAACAAGCACCGACCCATTTAATGACTACAGTGATTAACGCGACGGGCAGAATGAATCGATACACTATATCGTATTTTGCACAATATTCGAAGACACCATACTTAACAGTTTTTGCCGCACGGATAGGCTATCTCGGGGCGGAGGGGAACTGGAAGGGAAAATAAACTGGATTTAGAAAG